CTACTCTTTTACCAACGAATAGTGGGATTGACCGTCACATTATAACGCCCCCACGGCTGAAAGGGCGAGCATGTTTGGTGGGATGGGGATAACTTTAGGCTTAATTATCGAGTAAATTTTTAAAATTATGGTATCAAAACGTGTAAAACTCAACTGTTATCACGTGTTTTTTTGTTTTGTAATTTTCTTGTATGTATATATATGTATCTAAATCGCATTTGTATATCGTCTGAATCTTTTTCGCGCAATGTGTTAACTGTAGAGCATCGAAAATGAATGAGATTGTGGCAGTGACTATTAAGGCTAATTACAGTAGATCATACAGTTGCTAAATCTGTGCTTTGCTTAGAAGCGTTTTTAAACTTTAGGCCTAATTGTCGACTTTTAGGCGCCTGTTGGAATTTGTATTGAGAGTTAATGGTATTCCGTTATTTATAAGCCACGGAAAGATAAAGAATTAACTTAATGTGTTTCCTCGCATGTTTATTTATGTTACTGAAGTAATTGTCTGTAAACTTAATGTTATAAATGTCATAGTTTTACACTCGTATAGAACAATGCACGTTAAACGTCGTTCACTTTTGCACTCGTATAAACGTTAGCCATTAGAAATATTGGGTTTCCATGTGAGCTAACACGCATATACGTACGGACTGATTGACACACACACATTGTTTTTTTAATTACGTAGATAATCATGTAATAAGTCATGCTTTGCAAATTGTCTTGAAAAAAATAATTGAGACTATAATATATTCATCCGACGAGTCAACATTTGTTACAAACTACAAAGTGATTAAGAATAGTGTGTCTAAGAGTTGATTTTTATGAATTTTTTATTTTTAGCCGAATGTTAATCAAATTGTTCTGCTGATTTTGTGGATAAACAGATAAATGAAAACAATATATAAAAATGTTACACATTTCGAAATTTCCAGCAATAATACTTACAATTTTTGCTATATTATCTCAGGAATCTGGTAAAAATAGTACCAATATATTTCTTTGTATATCGCTCTCTATTTATCTGTTTATCCACATTGCTATATTATCTCAGGAATCTGGTAAAAATAGTACCAATATATTTCTTTGTATATCGCTCTCTATTTATCTGTTTATCCACATTGCTATATTATCTCAGGAATCTGGTAAAAATAGTACCAATATATTTCTTTGTATATCACTCTCTATTTATCTGTGTATCCACATATCAATCTTATCTCAAGCTTCTGAAAAGATTAGTATTGATTATAACCCAATTGCCATACAAAAAAAAAAGTTTTGTAGAATACTATTTGCTTGCGGACTTACAACGCTAGAAATCGCGTTTCGATACCCATGGTGGGCAGAGTACAGATAACCCTTTGTGTAGCTTTGTGTAACTTTGTGCTTAACTACCAACAACCAACTGATCAAAATAAGCAACGAAATTCAGTGAATACTGACCAAAACACAGCATACTTGGGTATTCAGTAGACTCGGAATTATTTTCAATGCAACATTCATGGGGATTCAGTGGCTATTACTCAATACACGTTATGCACCATTAATGTAGATTCAGAGGATTGTGAATACGAATCAAAATGCTATTTAGCAGAATTCAAGAGGATTTAATGGATTCTTGTGGAAAAATGAAACATTCATGAAGATGCATTGGATTCTGGCCCCCTAGTGGTACAGTACAGATAATTTATTGCGTAGCTTTGTGCTTAAAAACAACCAAACGAAAGAAAATTGTGGATTCAAAAAAAAAGTCAGTTATACCGTCGTATATTGTAGAAAACCAAATGCGCAAGATTTTAAGATCTGTCCTAAATTTTATAGATTACACAAGAAATAAGGAACTTAGTCCTGAGAGCAACGTTTTAGGTTTCTTCTTGTAATGAATGACGTTCTATATCTTTGTAATTTTATCCACCAGGATTTTAGTGCTGTCTTATAAATTTTGTGACAATTGTTCATAAATTCTATGAGATAACTAAATAACATGTTTAAAAAAAAACACCACTCGGCCCGGTATGGCCAGAAGGATTCGTAATGTGAGGGTCGCGGGTTCGAATCCCCATCCCACCACACCTGCTCGCCATTTCAGCCATGGGGGTTTTATAATGTGACGGTCAATCCCACTATTCGTTGGTAAAAGAGTATCCCCGATAGACCTCGTGTAGCTTTGCGCGAAATTTCAAACAAACAAACAGAACACCATTCCGAAAATGTTTGTTTTTGAATTTTGCGCAAAGCTACACGAGGGCTATCTGCG